CCTTAAAGGTTTTTTTTTGAAAATTTAAAAGAAAAACCTAAAATTAAAAAAAAATTCTTAAAAATACTAGAAAATCTAAAAATTATATTGAATTCATAAGAAAATTTAAAGAACCAAGAATCATTAAAAAAAATTGAAAAAATAATCGAAAATCAACCAATGTAAAAAGAAAATCTTAGATTTAAAGAATTTTATTGAATTTTTTTATCTTAAGTTAAAATTTTCCTGAAAAATTTAGATATTTTTTTCTTAAATTTGTATAAACTTATTTTTAGGGGTTATTTGGTCATTCTAAAATTCAAAATTGGTCAAACATTAGTTTTAACGGAAAAAAACTAACAATAGGGGAGGTAATTGGATAATTCGTATAACATAAGGACCGGATAATATTTCAATATCTCAGGGGTACTAAATGGATTTAGTCCTAACTTAAATTTGGTTTATATTTGGGGAAAGGTGTTCAGTTAGGCGTGTGCTGAAATATATATATTTTTTAAAAGGGATAATTACACTGTTATCCCCAAGATTTGATATAATAACGTTTTTCCCCATTTTTGGAAACTAACACTATCACCTGCAATGGAGATTATGTTCTATGACTTAAATATAACGGTATAAAGGATTAAAAAAAAAATTAACAAACTATCGACCTTTTTTTCCATCTGAGAAATGCAATAATATCAAAATGGTTAATACTGTTATATTTAATTGACAAAAATTGAGGGTGAGGGTGTTAGTTTCCCAAAATTAGGGGGGAAAATGTAATAAACCCTTTTAAAAGTTATACAATATGATATTTCTAAGCATTTGGTCTCCTAGTCTCCTCCCTTTTTATGGTTTCTATCACTTTATATTTTTGTATTGAGTTGTTAAAGGGAATGCTTTATATGGGTTTATCAAAAGACAGAGTTGGGGGGCTAAAGTCACCATGGACTTGACTCCATGTCCGTGTTGACAACCATAGCAGCGGAGCCACTAAGTGGTGAGCGAGGAGGCTCTATGCACATCTTCCTTGGTTCGTCCTTACCGTTGGGCAACCTACGAGTGAATTGTTTAAATGTTTGATTGCTTATAGATTTTTTGGAGAAAAATTTGGAGATCTAATAAGGTCAATATGAGACAATATCTTGTTCATACAAACCCTTCACCATTAAGGGATTAATTTAAAGGGACTAAATCCTCTAGTACCCCTGGGTTATTTGAAATTGAAATTCGGTCCCGGTGTTATCCATATTATCCAACTATCTCCCTTGTAGTTAGTTTTTTCTATTAAAATTGACTTTTGACTGGTTTTGACCACTAAATGACAATATTGCCCTTAAAGAATTTTTTTGAAAAACCTAAAATTTTCGAAAAACATTCTTATAAATACTAGAAAATCTTAAATTATATTGAATTCATAAGAAGATTGAAAGAACCAAAAATCATAAAAAATTTGAAAAAATAATCGAAAATCAACCAATTTAAAAAGAAAATCTTAAATTCAAAGAATTTTGTTGAATTTTTTCATCTTAAGTTAAAATTTCTCTGAAAAATTTAGATATTTTTCTTAATTTTTTATAAACTTATTTTTAGGGGTTATTTGATCATTCTAAAATTCAAAATTGGTCAAACATTAGTTTTAACGGAAAAAAACTAACAATAGGGGAGGTCGTTGGATAAGTCAGATAACATAGGGACCGGATGTAAGTTTCGATATCTTAGGGGTACTAAATGTATTTAGTCTTAATTCAAATTTGTGTTTATATTTGGGGAAAGGTGTTAGGTATGTGCTGAAATAGTCTTTGTTTTTTAAAAGGGATAATCACAGTGTTATCCCCAACATTTGACTTAATAAACATTTTCCCCCTTTTCGGAAACTAACACTATCACCTACAATGGAGATTATGTTCTATGACTTAAATGTAACGGTTTAAAGGATAATTTTTTTTTTTTTTTATAAACTATCAACCTATTTTTACATGTGAGAAATGCAATAATATCAAAACGATTAATACTGTTATATTTAACGAACATAAACTGAGGGCGAGGGTGTTAGTTTCCCAAAACTAGGGCGGAATAATTTCTTGTCAAATCTTAGGGGTGTCAGTGTGATAAACCCTTTTAAAAGTTATACAATATGATATTTCCAAATAATTGGTCTCCTGGTCTCCTTCCTTTTTGTGGTTTTTATCACTTCATATTTTTGTATTGAGTTGTTGAAGGAAATGCTTTATGGGTTTATCAAAAGACAGAGATGGGGGCTGAAGGCACCGTGGACTTGACTCCATGTCCATGTTGACAGCCATAGCAGCGATGGAGCCACTAAATGGTGGGCGGGGGCCCGGCCGCCGGCCGAGGCTCTTGGAAAAATTTTACGCGGTTATTTTATTTAATCAAAATAGTACAAATTCAAACATTATCAGCAATTTTATTTTATTTTGTTCTTTTGAAATATCAAAAATATTTTAATTTGTTTTTTTGTTATCAATCCAACGCATAAAATAAATACAAAATTATATTGGATACAAAGATTTATTAACGAAATTTAATGGATTAAAAGGTCAATTTTCCATGGATCATAATATTTGAATTGAGACAAGAATAATACTACACCAACAGTCCTCTCTTACAAACTTTCTCTCATAACCCTGATTTGACAACTTACAATTGACCAGTTCACAACGGGTCTCTTATTTTCCCACATGGGTCCCACTAATTAATTACGATCTGACCAATTGCGAGTTGTCACGTCAGAGTTATGAGAAAGGGTTGTTAGTGTAGTATTACTCTTGAGACAAAATCTTGACCACATCAATATGCCATAGCAAAAGCTTCAAATCTATTTATTTTCAGTATATAATTAAATTCTTGTACTATCCATCCATCCACGAGGGGTTAGCCAAACGGTCTTATGATTGGTTTGCTTCTAGAAAAAACATGGGATTGGAATCTTTTCATGAAATTGATCAAGAAAACATATGGGCATTTTCAGTTCATTAGGCAACAAATGTAGCCATGGCCAAAGTGATCCTACAAGATGGGAGACTTCAAGAATTTGCATTTTAACTATACCTGGGTGGTCAAGTGGTTCAATATGAACTCTTGAGTGTATTACTTAAGAGGTTTTGAGTTTGAGTCTCTCTTTGGTTGCTATTAGGAGTAGTCACTAGAGCTCTTATTCGACCAATAGTTTCAAGATCTCGGGATATTGTTGAGGTGTACATAAGTTGGGCCAGACATCCTTGGTCATAAAAAAAAAAAAAAAAAAAAAAAAATTGCATTTCCAATTAAGTTTTAGAGAAAACACTAGTTGTTGCTTTTCTTGTAAATACAATCTTTTTTTTTTTTTTTTTTTAATAATCATGGTGTTCGAGCTAGCTTGTGCGTATTTCAACTAATCTCTGGATTCATTGAACATCCTACAAGCCCAAAGGACTAAGTAAGCTACAATATTATTGAGGTAGATGATTTCAAGATTTGAACCCAAGACCTTAAGAAAGTGAGTAAACCTGCTTAATCGTCAGACTAAACCCTTAGGGCTGATACAATCTCATTATCTCTTGTAACTAAGATATTTATTAGAATTTTAATTTTAATTTTTGTTAAATATGGAAACAACAGTCGAAATTTGCTATGATATATAGTGAAAGCTACATGCAATGGAGGTGGAAAATCACATATTAGTTAAAGTGAGTTCAAACTGGTACAAACACTCTAATTATAATAAAAAAATAAAAATTAATCAATCATTGTAATTAAAAAACATAAATAAAGACTAATTAAAGCGATTGTTGGATTAAAGAATGATCATATATATGTGAAGAATATTGACTATAAATTATTGTTAAGACCTTTCACTGTATCTAAATTCATCTGCTTCATCCTCATTCGTCTAGCAAGTGAAGTGATTATATAAAATGGAGGAGAGAAGTGATTATATAAAATGGAGGAGAGACCCCATTAAAGGATTAGAGATCCAATGAGAAGAGAAAAAAAGGTCAAAAGAGGAAAAGCAGTTTCAGAAACCAAGTCTTTGCCTCTCAAATGTGAATCATACGACCATCATAAATTGTTAATTGAAGGCCGCGGTTTTGTCAATTTCCCTGTATTGACCTCGATTCTTCCTCCTTCCCTACCTTGATGTAATGTGTCCTCTCGTGATCTCACTATCAAATTCTGTACATTTCTCCTCCCAACACACGCTTTTATTTTTCTTCTGAATTATTTGAGTATATTCTAGATTGATAGGCTAAAACTATGCTAATACTTTTTGTAAATCGGAGGCATACACTAATGAACAGTATATCGATTTAATCCTAAAGGGTTGACCTGACGGTTAAGGAGGTTTACTCACTTCTTTGAATTTTAAAATTCAAACCTTGAGTTATCTACCACAATAACATTATGACTTACTTAGTCTTTTAGGTTTGTAGAGTATTTAATAGATCTCAGGGATTAGTTGAGGTGCGCACAAGTTAGTCTGGATTTTCAGGTTACCATCCTCCTAACATCTTTAATTTTCTGGTGGATCCTGTAAGCAAACATGCAACAATTACCCACCCATGGGTAGTCCAGGGTAAGGGCGAACCGATGAGGCTACAAATGGTCTAACCTATAATTAATCCTAGGTTTGATTCCCTGTTGGGTGTAAATGTAGTACATTTACTCATGATTTATTTGGAGGGCTGCGACGGTGAGTTGCTATGGGATAACTCTCCTTGAAGATTAGTTGAAGTGTGCGTAAACTGACCCGAACACCTCAATTATTAAAAAAGAAAACTAGTCTATGATCCACTAGTAAATGTCATGTGGCTTTTTCTTTACATTAAATTAATCATAGATGATTATCTTTATAATCATACATAATCACTGACTTCACATACCTTCGCTTAGCAGCCCATAAAGGTTAAAAAATAAAAAGTTCTTACATATATCAAATTCCAAGTGCTTGTACTTAATATTATATAATACAGCAGGAATCACTGTTGGAATGTCGATCTTGAAATATGCTTTTTCTCTCCCTATATATAACACAATTCTCTTTACCTTCTTCCTCATCCAATCCAACCAAACTCAACTCAGCTCAGCTCATTTTACAGAATCAATCAATGGGGAATTGCGCAGTATCTCCTTCATACAGGAAGGGAAATGGTGGCAACAACAACAACAACTTCAAGAGGCCACTCACAGTCAAGATCATTCACTTGGATGGACGGCTACAGGAATTTAGAGAACCCATTGAAGCCAGAAATATCCTCTCCCAGAACCCCAACTGCTATCTCTGTAGCTCCGAGTCCATGTTCATCGGCTCCCAAGTCCCTCATCTCTCAAAAGAAGAAAAACTCCAACAGGGTCAAATTTACTTCCTCATGCCACTCTCCAAGTCTCAGGCGCCGCTCACTCTCCAGGACTTGTGTTCACTAGCCATAAAAGCTAGCTCAGCTCTTCCCAAGTTAACCCCACAACCGCCTTTCAAGTATCAAGTGGTTGCCACGCCTGCGCCAGCCGGTTTCTGTGAAGTTCCGACCGGCTTTCAGGTTCCGGCGAGGAGATGACGACCCGACCGATGAAACCGAAGAGATGTCCCCTAGCTGGAAGCTTTAAATATTTTTTAATGTTGAGATTTTAGTGTGTAACGCGCTTAATTAATTGTTAATTAATGTTAATACAATATATTAATTAATTAGAATATAGTTTAAAATTTTAATTAGGCATGTTTTGAATTTTGAAATTAATATTGTAGCTCTTGATGTAATAATACTTGAACATGTGAGAGAGGGTTTGAATTTTGTTAAGGGACAAAAGAAAACCTTATATTTTTTCAAAAATAAATATATGAAAATATTATCATGTGTTTAAATATTTAATTGCTTAATTATAGATTTATGGTCAATAATTAAGAGATTTAATAAGGTTAAATGTCTTGTTCACACTACCCCTTCAAAAGGGTTTAATTTTTTTTAATTAAAGATGTTAGGTATGCGGTGAAATAGTCTTTTTGTTAGGTAAATAAATGATTTTCCTAAGGAGCCATGACGGTGGATTACTGTAATATAGTTTTCTCTTGAAGATTAATTGATATATGCGTAAACTGATATGAATACCTCAGTTAAAAAAAAAAAAAAAATAGTCTTGGTTTTTTAAAATAACAAATGAAAAAAAAAAAATCAGAAGAATACTTCTATTAAATGTTTTTAGAAATATTTTCCTTAGAAATTTAGTATAAAAATTTTTAACAAGATATTTCTAAGTAATTGGTCTCCTAGTCTCCTTCCTTTTATGGTTTCTATCACTTTATTTTTTTTACCTATTTCGTTCTTGTATTCACTTGTTAAAGGAAATGGTTTTTGGTTTATCAAAAATTCAAAAGACTAGAGATGGGCCTGAAGTCACCATGGACTTGACACCATGTCCATGAGTGTTGATAGCCATAGCAACAACACCTTCAAATATTTAGGGGAAGCTATCCCATAACAATTTATCGTCGCGGCCCTTTAACTAAATCATAAGTAAATATTAGTGATGGCAATGGGCCAGGCCGGGACTAGGTATCTTTTGGCCCAGGCCCAAGCCCGACCTCATAACAAAGGCCCAAGCCCCACCTAAGCCCGTCACGGGTATCACAAGTAAAGCCCAAGCCCGACCCGATGAACTTTTTGTAACCTTAGGCCCAGTCCAAGCCTGCTCATTTTTATAATGTGAATTTTTAAATATTAATAAATTTTAATTTTTTTTTTATATTTTTAATTCTATAAACAATTTTTAAATATTAATTTATTTTTGAATACTCACCAAATATATAAATAACTTTTCACAAAGTGCATCCATCTATCCATGTAGGGTTTGGAGAAAATGAGTATATATATGTAGGATAATCTTGTAATTAAATATATAGTATAAGGGTAATTTAGTATAATTAATACTAAAATTATCGGGCTGGGCCGAGGCCTGAAGACATACCCAGGCACAACCCGTACTCAAGGTGGGCCTTAAAATCAGGCCCAGGCCCAAGCCCAAGCCCGCGAACATCAAGTAAAGCCCGACCTTTTCGGGATAGGTCGGATCGGGTACCCAAAAATATCAGACCCATTGTCATCTCTAAATATATTACCTTTACGTCTAACGAGGAATCGAATCTAGAATTGTGGATTGAAGTCATATACAATCCCTTTGGTTCGTCCTTACTGCTGGGCCATCCATGAGTGGATAGTTAAGCCTGACCTTTTCGGGACAGGTCGGATCGGGTACCCAAAAATATCGGACCCATTGTCATCTCTAAATATATTACCTTTACGTCTAACGAGGAATCGAACCTAGAATTGTGGATTGAAGTCATATACAATCCCTGTGGTTCGTCCTTACTGCTGGGCCACCCATGAGTGGATAGTTATAAGAATCTTTCCGAAGTCTCGCAAATGTATATAGAATACATTGATTTAATAAAAGTATTATTTTTTTTTATTTTTTTTTTAACTCACATTAGAAACACATTGTTTAAAATATTTAGAGTTAAAAAATGGATTCAGAAGCGTCAGAAATAGTGATTGAGGATAATGAGAGGCATGGAGCCTCAGCCTTGGATTCTTTCTCCCAAGGAACATTTTGAGCCTCTCAAGACTGTCCAAGTTGTAGACAGCTTCCCCCCTTGTATATATCTATACTGCTATTGCTATCTTTGTCAAATATTCTACAAATTTCCAAATAAAAAACATAACCAAACATTAATTTAACATGTATCATTAGCAAATTCTCATGGGTTAAATTTTAAACTGACAAATATCTATTCACTTTTATAGTTGGCTTCGACTTTATAAGATAGTACGAGGAGTGAATAAGAGTCTGATTTGAATGGTTCGAGAAGGACTTTTGGGTGTATTAATCAAGAGATTCTAAGTTCGAGTTCTTTCTTGATTGTTAATAGAGGTAGCCATTAGAGCTCTTACTCGATTGGTAGTTTCAAGGTTCCGAGAGATTAATTGAGGTATGCGTAAGCAGACCCAGACAATCCTGGTTATAAAAAAAAAAAAAAAAAAAAGTGAATAAGAGTTTGAATTAATTCATAAGTTGTGAATTCTCTTAACTAATTAGACGTGTTTCGAGTAAATCTATGAACTGATAAGTGAATAACATCTATTTTGTTTATACTCAAAATTAGGGGTGAGTGGTTTTGGGTTCCTTGCATATTTTGAAGGAACCGGAACCGGTCAGTTCTTAAAATTTGGAATTGGAATTGGAACATGAAACGTAGGTTTCGGTTTCGGTTCTGGGTACCCAGTTAATTACAATTACCCCCTACTTTTAAAAAAATGACAAATACAACCCCAAAAAATTACACATACAACCCCATACTTTACAAAAATTACAATTCAGTCCCAATTCTTACCAAGTACTTGGACCTCGAATCCTATTCCGGTTCCGGTTCCCGGTTCTAGCACTATAAGAACCGCCCTTTACCCATGCTCACCCTGAGTCAAAACATTACAAAATTAGTTGGAGTTCGTAAGATCCAGACCTCTGATGAAGAGGACTAGCTGTATTTGTAAAATCAAAACATTAGTGGACAATCTTGGACTAACACATAAGTTGCCTACATAAATGCATCTCAAACTCTCAGAATCCATAGACCAATTCTCTCTTCCTCTCTCTTCCTCTCTAAAACAAAGACATTCCAATGGGAGTTTGTGCGTCTTCTCACTGCACAAACAAGGCTGGAGAAGGCCTAAAATGGTCATCATCAACTGCCAAAATAATTCACTTGGATGGCAGGCTGCAAGAATTCAACCAACCAACCAAAGCCAGCCATGTCCTCTATCAGAATCCCAAGTGCTTCATTTGCAACTCAGAACTCATGTACATTGACTCTCACTTGCCACACATGGCGGCGGAAGAAGAACTCCAACTGGGTCAGATTTATTTTCTCATGCCACTGACCAAATCCCACCTTCCATTTTCTCTCCAGGAACTGTGTAAATTAGCCATTAAAGCTAGTGCCCAAATGGGGTACTCATCGGATAAATTATTGCAATGTACTTAGGACAAAAATGGTGTTAAATGTTTTACAGTTCGGATTAGTTAACACCATCTACAAAAAAAGCTCAGGCTGGCGGTGCACGGTGGCCGGAGAATTGAGTGATAAAGGCCAGTTGATCATATTTGACAGCAATATAGAAGTTGTTAGAGCTTTGGAATTGTAAGGGGAAATAAAATATTATTGGAGCCCTTTGTGTTTTCACATTCGGTATTATTCATAGAGGAATTATGCTGTTTACTCTTCATGGTACACTAATTTTTATTTTTTTTATTTTTTCTGTAGAAAAGAATTCCAATCCCTAATTGATGTTATTAATTTGATCTAACACTGCTTGATCTGGCTAAGATTGCAATTTTATTAGTCAATTTGGGCAAAGTTGGGCCCGGGCGGTCCGAAGCCCAGACCCTCAAAGACCGGTCCTGGGCCCATCATTTTTGTGAGGGCTTAGATCGGTCCCAAGCCCGAGCCTAATCTGTATTGGCTGGTCCTATGCAGGCCTAGTAAATATCCATTTAACCTTCTAATTTTTTATATATTTAGTAATATAATTATGTAAGGAGGTTTTTGTAATTTACTAGGGGATGATCGGTAAAATTTTAATGTATTTCATATATTATAAGGGGTTTTAGTTATTTGCCAGGAGGGTTTTGATTATTTGGTAAGAGGTATTCTGAAATTAATCGAGCTTGGGCCTAGGACCAGTCCCAGGCTCGGGCTTAGGCCCGGTCCTATAGGGACCGTTCTTGGGGAGGACCCAGACTTTTTGCCCAGTTCTTTCACTCAAAAGGGGCACTTCTACTGTTCTAAATTAAAGGAATTTAATTTAATCAGTCCCATCTCTTCTGCAAACCTCCAGGAATATGGCTTGAGACAATAATCAAACAGTTTATTATCATCAACTAACACTAAAAGATACAAAATACAACGTATACAACTGCATTTATTGTTTCTATTTTTTCAGCAATTCTAAGAGGAAGGTTTCATTTCAGCTTTTATAGCAGCAACCAATTGATCATAAGCTTCTCCCCAAGCATTCTTCATTTCTGGTGACCACATTTCTGGAACTGCTTCCTTTATGGTTTCCAATAGTGCAAATTTAGTGACCTGTTGAACAGTTCATATGGCCATAAAATTAATTAACTTCCAGAGAAAACAAGAAAGTATGCATGTTTACTTTCTTGTTTTCAATAACAGAATGAATTTCATACCTCGAAATGTTCATTAACTACTCCATATTTGAAATGGGTAGCTCCTAATTTTTTCAGAGTTGACTCTCTCACTGTTACTTTTCCAGCTTTCCTTAGTTGTACAGCTGATTCACATGTCTGTAAAATACATTACACAAACAAAAATTAGATTAAAAGAAAATGCATAAGCTTGATTTAATCAATAATATTGCCTATTAATGAACTCACCATGACAAAAACAGACATGGCATGAGACTTGAGCTTCTGGTTCTGCTCTAGAGGCACATTTGAGTCTTTCAAGAATGAGAACAGCTTCTGGGCTGATGGTGCAATCTCAAATATCCTATTAAGAAAAAGAAATCAATAGTGGAGAAAAATTTATAATAATATTAAGGAAGATCAAGTACAGGCATATGCTTACTTCAAGAAGAATTTCAGACCCAATTCTCCAGTATTTTTCTTCATTACATTCCATGACTTGACAACTAG